ACCTATTCAATCAAAAAGTATCGTTGTACTTTAACGCAGGCTATCGGCCGTCGCTTAGAGTGAAAGGGCGAAGGAACGCACGTGGGATCTCGTTTTTGAACCAGATCATGACATCGCTCTTTGCAAAGCTCAGAATCCGACATGGAAGGCCTCAGCCTGGTTGCTCGTTCCTTATTCTCGTCTTCGCCACGTGTCCAGTAATGGAACCCCCTTTTTCGATAACGTTCCGTGCGTCGACACTCGCTGCACAAAGTGTTAGGCTAATGGGGTGCCACTGCCGTCCAGGGGATGACGATTAACTCATTAAAGGGCAACAACAACGAATACGGAGGGAAGTGGGTGTCCACTGTGACAAAACCAACGCCTACAAACCCAGAACACTTCGTTTCTGGTGGAAAGTAATATCTTTTGCCGATCTTGGCGATGATTTCCCGTACGTCCCACGCTCATACACGTGTTCGTTCCTCGTTATAGAGGAATGACCGGGATAGGGGTGCGGAAAGTCGGCACCCAGTTGGATTGGAGTGTTCGGTCCACATGACACGAGTACAAATCAGATTGCATCCACCTTATTAGTGTGTACTTAATCCGAGAAGAAGCGAGTACAACATGCATTCGTTCTAGTCAGCAGATAATCTAATCCAATTGAGAGTGTGCATCCGTTCATTCCATAATACAAACAAGAATTCCTTAAACATCCTCATATACTAGGAGATGCGAGAGAGAATAGAGGAGTGTCGAGATCATTCGAGCTTTGCGACCTCTCAAGTTCAATGACATCCGCCCTCGCGGAATCCGTTAGAACTTAGTGGGGCGAACGAGCTTATAAACTCAGAAAATCATAGCGACTCCACCAAAGCATTTAGCCACTTGCGTTGTGCATACAGAGAGGAAAGGGAAGGAGGGGAGGAACGAGAGAGAGAGAGAGAGAGAGAGAGAGAGAGAGAGAGAGAGAGAGAGAGAGAGAGAGAGAGAGAGAGAGAGAGAGAGAGAGAGAGTCAATGGTGATATATAGTTCGAGAGAAAAAGGGGAGCGGAAACAATGGCGGACCAGTAAACACGCAGAATAGATTAAGGGTCCGCCGTGAACTTAACTTTCCTGAAATAACGAAAGGAAGAACCGAAGATCACATGTGTGTAAACCCTTCGCTCTCTGATCATGCCCCCCGACCACGCAGCCTCTCAATCGCAAACATGCTTCCATACTCCGGCACTGGCGATCCCGACTGCCATGTACCAACCACCAAACCACAACGATCGTCACCCTGCCAACTCAGCTCCTACACCGACTAGCCTTGATCCCGCAGTTCATCACGGCCACGTGGCACTCAGCCTTGTGAAAACACCGTTAGCTCGTCAGGACTTTCCGACTCGCTGTGCATTCCCATCACCTAGCCATGACTTCTCGGAAGTTGGCAGATGGGTAGAGAGAGAGAGAGATTTTCGGGAGCGTTTGTGAATTTTATAGTTACGAGCAGGAGGGCAGCAAAGGGAGAAGCAGGGGGTAAGGATTGAGAAGAGCGAAGGAGTTTGTGATGATCGCCCATGAGAAGCCATATCGATCCCGCAGGCTCTTTGTATAGCCAATCAGATTACTTTGTGCGAGGAGGAGTTTCTCTCCTTACACGACGTCGATCAGTGGCTTCGAGCGTCCTGGGTGGGATCGATAGGGAGTTCTGTTGCGGGCGGCAGGCAGGAAGGAGAAGGGCGGGAAAAGCAGCACAAAGCGGTCCAAGATTCAGACAGCTCTTTGTGTAGCCAATCAGATTACTTCGTGCGAGGAGGAGTTTTTCTCCTTACACGACGTCGATCAGTGGCTTCGAGCGTCCTGGGTGGGATCGATAGGGAGCTCTATTGCAGGAGGCGGGTGGGAAGGAGAAGGGCGGGAAAAGCAGCACGGAGCGGTCCAAGATTCGGACAGGAACGAGTGAGGGTAAAGCACGAGAGAGCGAAAGGATCGAAAACAGTTACAGGCGAAGAGGAGAAGGCGCGAAGAAGAGATGGAGGAAGATGGGGCGGGACGGGCGAAAAAGGGTGGGGGGGGAAGCTTGCAGATGCCGCGCTTGTACTTGGGAAAGTAGAATGACGTCGAAAACAGTTGCGTTCCTAGTCCAAACTATTTCAAGAATGCAAAATTCAAATGTTATACAGGCGCTCGGATTTGAGCGCGCAAAAGTCCTACGTCTATCCAGTTGCTCACTGAGAGTTCACAACTGATCTTTCCAGTGCGGGTACGGGAAATTCTCCATGCAAGAAATGGCACGTCAACAAAAAAAGACGCCCACAAATCCCGGAATTCCCAACCGCCAAACAAAATTCACAGTGCGTTCACTAAGGCGCGCACTTCCTACGTACAAAAGAGGGAGAGGAAAAAAAGGAACGTCCTCTTGGGTTCGGGAGGGCCTGAATGGCCGACACTCAGCAAAAGGAAAAGGAGAGAGGGGGGAGGGAAGGGGCAGCTGATTCAGCAAAAGTGGAGGCTACGGAAGATAGTCCAGGTACGGGAAAGAGTTTGTCACATGTGTGCGGACTGCCACAGCCCCCTGGGGCCACATCCCATCGCCCGGTAGCCACCAAATATACCTCCACTGCCTCAACTTCCCCACTGGAGGAGAGCCTCCCAACCTGCTACAACCCATGCCGCCTGCATGTGCAAAGAACCACCAGCTGCCCTTGCCACCAGAGTGCAGAGATGACCTACCCTGCCCCCGCTGGTCAGCTGCACTGCACCCTGAGCAGCCACCACCAGCTTCACCTGGTACCAAGCCACCCACCCAAGCTACTATCTAAGACTCCTCCCCTGGCCATTCATCTGAGTTGATAATGAAGTGCTGTGTTCGCTTGTAAAAAAGATGGGGGAAAAAACAGCATTTTGAGTTGCAGCCACATCAGCCCCCCTAGAACTTTGGAAGAGGTAGAGATGGAGCATGGGGAAGAAGAGGCGGGACCCCGCAAGAAGCTTAGGGCATACTCATCCGAAGGGGATACGCAGATCTGGGGGGAACTTTCCTGTGAGTGTATTTGCCCTCAATGTGGCGAAATTCATTCAATCAAGGAAGGCGTTTTGTGGGTCGGCCCTCTGCCCTAAGGTGTTCCTAAATCTGTCCGAACGCGAAAACGAAGGGCAGATTCAGTCGAAAACGTCCGTGAACGTGTATGCCGTTGTTAGGCGGATACTTGCACTCCCTTGACTTTCCAGGACGTATCTGGCTCTAATAACAACCACGTGGTCGAAAAAGTGCACGCGTGAAGCAGCCCGTTTCTTCACAATTGCATTCATTCATAGAAAGGTGGCTGTGGATCTAATCTACGTCCACGGATCAACGAAATAGCTCTATCGCGGCGAAGCGACGGCTGTCGGTCTGAGTCACGGACGCAAGATGCTGATGAGGGTGGGGTCCCAGCACCCGCAACCCCACCCGCCGTATGCGACGCCAAGGGCCAGAGGATTATTGGGTTTGGACGGTAGGGCCGTTGATCCATCCAATTCACAGGTGAGGTGTTCAAGTCTCTCCCCCCACAGGTGAGGTGTTCAAGTCTCTCCCCCCAAATACATAAACGTTAAGACGAGAAAAGGAAAATAAAATACTGACGGAAGGAAAGGAAAGGTGAACAGGGTTTTTGTGCTCGAGGAGCACCAGTGAGTTGCGGTACGGATGCAGGGCATTGAAGGTTGATTTGGACGATGATTTGCCAGCCGGGCGGCGGAGATCCGGCTTGGAAGAGGCGTGACCACAAGGCGGTCGGGGGCGTATCAGGTTGAGGAATTGCGACACCCAACAACAGGCCAGAATTTGATCCCCCCTTGTGTCGGCATCGGCAGCAGGTCTGTTCTTCGCGTCGTCTAAATTTACGTGTACAGCGGGTCTACTGCGGCGAGATAGGGCGGGATCACAACCCTACCGTATTGCAGCGTCCCTCTCGCCAGGCCGGAGTGCAATGAGTGACAGATATGCGGGCAAACTTGTGGCTGGTGACACTCCAGCTGAATTTCCAGGCCTTTCCTGGCCACGCATTCTGAGTCGGATGCGTTCGTCAGCCTTGCGACTTTGGGGCTCTGATCGCTCGCAGGAAAATAGGGAAAATGTAAGCGACAAGGCTGGTGGCTCGGCGGTATACACCTGCACGCTGTTCGATCCAGAGGCCGGGGGCTCGAATCCGCGCAGGGCCTCGCTGTTATATTCTTTGTTCTTAGGGGGGTTCCTCCAAAAAAGAAAAACCAACAGAGAAATGGACTTCCTTTCTCTTACCTTTCCCTTAGCTAGGTTTTGCGACAGGAGCTGGTGAGGGCAAAAAGCGTCCGTATGTGAGTTTTTTTTTTTTTTTTTGCCTCAATTTGACCTGTTTAGTAAATTTGGGCTGGACAAAAAAAAAAAAAAAAAAAGCGTCCGTATGCCCTTCGTTATTATTAATATAAAATTGGGGCACATCCGTTATTATTAATATAAAACTGGAACGATAAAGGGCGTACTCACGCTCGCACTTCTTAGACTTTTTAGAATGCATCTGACGGTAATTACGGGTAGAGAGGGACGGACCTGACGGCAATCACGTCCAGAGGTTTGTGGGAAAGGTACTCGTGTGAGTATGTCCACAGAGACGACGAGGGGGGCACCTGGGGCGCAAGGATGACACGCACAAATGGAGAAAAAGCGTCCGCATGTAATTGTTGGCTTTCCAAAAAGTGTCCGCCACGTTGTCTCGGCAACCGCGCGAGGAGCTTTCTGTTTTTTTGCATTGCATGGCGGGGACATGAAAGAGCGCGGTGTAGAGCATAAAGCCGGGCAAAGGCCTCTTTCACACTCACAACGCGGGGTTTGTTTTTTTTGCCTTCGCCTGTGAAGTGGCCTGTTTGCACTTTTTGGCTGCCTCAGCTGCCTAAAGGTTTCCGCAGCGCCTGCCGCCGCCGCTCTTTTTCTTCCCCTCTGCCTTGGGCGGGCGAGTCCAATCGGGTGCGAAAACGTCCAGGCGGCTGCGTGACACGACCGTGCAAGGGCACGGCTTGCTTCCGAGCTAGAGAGAACGGACGTTCGGTTCTTCTGTTCTGTTCCTCGCTCTCTCCTGCGTCCTGCGTCCCGCGTGTGTGCTCATGTCCGCTGGTGGCATCTGCGGTTAGCCAAATTTCAGGACCGCCTGCCTATATGCCACCAAACTGCTTTTCCTTACTTGGTGCTAAACACGTACCGGAGTCCACAGAGCAAACAGTGATCTCCTGCACTACGTGCGTGCCAAACACTTACTCGACTATCTAGCGCCATTCTCCTTTCTTTCATTCTTCTCTTCGGCCGCCAACGTTCCAGGTGAGAGAAACGAAGCACCGTCGAGAAGGCGATTGACGACGCGTTGTTTGGCGTTGTTTTTGTTGTTTTACGCTTAGACAGAGCGACGAGTTGGCATGATTTTGTCGATGGCAGGGCATGATTGGTTGCTGCCACGGAGTTGGGTCCTTTGACTAATGACAGCGAAGCCGGTGAAAGCAGTCGTAGTCGTAGTCGTAGCACGAGGAGCACCAAGGAGTCAGTCGAACGGAGGACAAGCTAAACAGAAGCAGAAGCAGAAGAAGTCGCGTTGACGAGACCTCTTTTCGCGCGGTTACGTGGGAATCGATGCTTCGTCTGCGTCTCTATCTTTCTTTTGCACTCTCTTGAGAACGGAGAAGAAATCTTTTTCTACCACAAAGTCGAAGTGGGCAGGGGCATAAGTGCCTTCGCCCGAGGCTGTTTCTCTCTCACACACTCGCCCACTCCCTTCCTCTCCCTGTCTTGCAGTCGGTCGAGAACTGCACTCCCCGTTCCATATCCTTTTGTGCTGGATAGGTGGGTAGATTGTCTCCACTCTTCTTTGCTCTTTTTTTGTGTCTTTGCCGCTCTAATTTGCTCCTGCCGTGTGTGACGCATCCCATCGTTGTCAATTCTCCGCGAACCGACGACGTACGTTGAGGTGGGGGGAAAGGACGCTGGGTCACGCAGCAGCAGAGGCTTCTTCTGGCTTGTCGCGGGCTGGCGTCGAGGAGCTTGCCCATTTCATACGAGTCTGTTTTGTATGTGACGGCGAGAAGCACGAGCGAGGAATAGAGGGAGGACGAGGGTACAGGACCTGACGGAACATGCAAGTCTGTTCAAGCTGCTTCTACTTGGAAGTCGAAGCACATCCGTCCGTGTGCGCTGAGCTACGAAATTTCTAGTCTGGAGGCGTCGGAGAAACGAATCTAGAGGGAGGGGAGGGGAGGGTATCATCGAGTCGAGGTATTGCTTGCTCAATGAGGGGTTTGGGACTGAGTTTGGATTGCGCGGAGGAGTGAGGCGTGCAGAAGAACCAGGCAGGCTGTCGTGTTGGACGGTCGCGTGAGTCGCGCATCAAGCGGACGACGGAGGGACGTACCGCTCTCGCCTTAACAGGAGAGAGATTGGCTGTTGTGATCGCTTGGGGCCGCGGGGGGGGGGGGGGTGGAGCGGGAGGGGGAGGGGGAAGGGGCTGTATGAAAGGAGTGGGGTGGTGAAGTCGCGGTGTTTAGTGGTGGAAGCAGCGGATTTAACAACCTGGGAAAGTGCGGTGAGCTCTCAGTGGGGGTCGTTGCTGAGCGACAACCGCGAGGGGCGCCGGGTGATGCGATCGCCCAATTTGCGAATTTGCGCGGGATGAAACTCGAACATGTTTTCGCAGGGGGCGTGTGTGAGGATTGTGAGCAATTGTTGTTGGTGCTGACACGTGGAGATCAACAAAAGTTTAGAGGATCTAGAGGACGATGCGAGCGTTGAGGACGTTGATGGAGGCAGAAGTGAAGAGCCCCGGTTCGGGCGATCAGCAAGGCGGGCAGCAGCAGAACAGCGACCCGGGAATCAAGTTGTTTGGGCGAATGATTGCGGTTAATTTCTATAATAGGAGTGACATAGACTATTACAGTCAAGAGGGGGGGAGAGGAGGGGGGGGAGTGTCGGGCGGACAATCGACGGCGGCAGTAGCAGACTGCCGGGCCGTTAGTGAAGAGGAGACGCCAGAGGCCGCCCAGGCGACGGAGGCCGCGGTTGGTGCAGGTGTTGGCACTGCCACAATTGAACAAGGGATGGAGGACGGGAGGGTGTCTGGGGGTGACGCCGGGATGACGACGGCGCCTTGCAGCTTGACCATGTCGTTTGCGCGAGCGCGCGCGCAAGGGGCGGGGTATAATATGGTGCCCTCCGGAGGAGGAGGTGGAGGAGGTTGTGGTGGGATGGGGTGGGGCTGTGGCGGAGGCGGAGGGTCCGCGGAAAAGGTCGCAGTGGGTAAAGGACAACCGGAGGGTTGCGGCGAATTGCACGACGAGGAGCGACGGCCAAACGACCGCTCTTTTGATCGGGTACGTATCTCTCGCTCCCTTTCTTCCCGACTCAGGTCTGTCTGTAAGGAGAAGGCTTGTAAGCCAGTCAACATATACTATGTATGTGCGCGTGCTCGCGTGTGCGCACTGTCTGGGCGCTGGAAAGCGCAAAAGAGCGCCACGCGAAAAGCCCATTCTGAAACAGTTTCCACCTTTCAAATAAAGTAATTCTGCTTCCCCGTCAACTGCGAGATGGTCGCGATGTTATGTACTTCTTTGTCCAGCACGCGTATCTTGGGATTGATAAAACGATCGGAGGGTGCGGCGAGCCGCACGTTCAGTGTGTGTGTGTGTGTGTGTGTGTGTGTGTGTGTGTGTGTGTGTGCGTGTGTGTGTGTGTGTGTGTGTGTGTGTGAGAGAGAGAGAGAGA